GGATTAAATTGCGACTCACGTCCGAGCTCTGGACTCAAGCCAACTGTTTTGCTCATAAACCTCAAAAATTGGAAAAAGCTAAAAGAAACAAATATTAAACAGCAAAAATACAAAATAGGCCCCACATCGCCCTTGCCAGTGCTATACAGTGACCGGGAATAAAAGTAAAGGCAAAACAGGCGTTTTTCATTGGTTGCATTTGAAACTACAGTTTATCACACTGGCCCTAAAAAACTGACAACCTTCATGATCAATCACATTTGACAGGATGGAAAATACCCTAATATTAAACATAGCTATCTGCGAATGAAACTTACATATGGGGAAAGCATGACTATTAGAGGCACAGATTAATGAAACAACACAGGAGAGAGTGGATAAGGCTACATTGTGTGGGCGGGCCGGTAGAACTTGTTGAATCTATCGTTTCGTCGAACAGCGAATGGCACTGGATTGGAGTGAACGCGTGGTGCGTTCGTTTTGTTGTGTGTAATAGAACTGGTATAGTGATGGTGGCCGAATGGTCAAACACTCAGATCTTTGTAGTCAGAAATTCTCAATGTTGTACCCTGGCTCTTTTTTCATAAATGTGAATTGTTGCATCGGATAGTGCCAGACTACATGTATTTGATGATTGGCTTGCCTTCAAAGCCTCACTTTATTTCTCCACAAGAACACTAAGGCATGTTTAACCACAGAAATTATTCACTAGATGAGAGAAGTACTTATTTATCATGAAATTAATCTTATTCTTATCGATTCTACTCTCAGCTTCTCGTAATTAAAGTAAACTTCGCTTTCAACTTGAAATGGCCGACTCGTGAATAACGTCACTACGATCACTGGAACCATGAAATCAAGACAGTACATGGAAACAATCGTGTTTTCTTGTCAACACAAGTCCACTTAATCGATTTATTTTGTTCGTGCAGGTGTTTTTGTTGAGAACTACTTTGTATTGAGAAGAGCCTTCTGTTACGAGGCACAATATAGTATATCTTGCTGGGATATTGAATCGGCTCCGTGGGCTGTGTCAAATGCCACACCGATGGCTGTCTTTATGACTCGTCCAGTATTCGGTATTATAGGCAAAATTCAATCTAACTTCGTCCACGAGATACGTCTGGGAACGGAATCTTGTGTAGATTCTAGTCAGCCAATATTGACATTTCACAGACAGTGATCGTAATTGGATTCTGCTGGCAGACTTCACTTCCAAATAATGTTCGCGAACTATCTGTTTTCTATTTAAAGACAAATCGTACCACATGACCAGCATGCATATTGTATGCCTTATTAGTAATGATGATAACAAATAATGTCGGCCATGCCTAGAGAATCTGTCAACTGTGGTTATTTTGTACAACAGCTGGCTCATATAGCTTCCAGCAATATGAGGTGGCCTCGAAATGTGCATTGATCGCCTGGCGGATTTGTCCATGAATTCTGCTCTGTTATTATGGGCAGGATGATGTTTTTGTGTAGTCATTGTTATATCAATACAGACCCTGAAAGTTGACCCCTGATGGCTCGCTTCCAGAACCCTCAGTTAGGAAAATAACTTGCAAGGATTTTAGAATTTGTACTGTGTTTTCGTGCAGTTACTTCTTTTTCCCACACAGAAATGAGGCTTTGGAAAAATATTTTCTAGTATATCAGTTTATAGGAACTGATAAATCACCCACCTCAAAGATAAATATCCTGCCAAAAATTGACCCATCACTTGCGAAAATCTAAAATACACGAAGAACAGTGCAATGCGGCAGTCTCATATATTCGCAGATGAACATTTATTGTTAGCAATTTTTTAGTCTGTCGGTAAAAGCCAAACTAAAAACAGATCGTTTTATAACCTCGTTATCACGAAAGCACGGGGAGTGAAAACAAAGGTGCATGAACAAGGAGACCTAGGTACGATATCGCCGGACTTGAAAGGTCGTTGCAGAAATTCGTGTTTTACCGATCTCCAGTTGACTTTTCCTAAAAAAATACTTGAGGAAGACAAAGATAAAACTCGAACATGAGTGTTTAATAAGGGGGTTCAGTTAGGAATTAGGCTTCCAAATATAATCGAACGTGATAGGACGGCCCAATGTAATTAAAATCCCCATGGGCGGACCTTCAGGCTCTATTATCTGAAGAGGCCTTTTTTGTCACTCATTTCGCAGTTTCCTGTGTTTTCCCTTTTCAGTCTTAATGCGTGAAGCTATAGCGAACAATGTGGAATATCAACCAGACTGTTAACAATTAATGCTTCACGAAAATTTGCGAAGAAAAAACATCCTCGTTTCTGTACAGGCCTGACGGTGGGTTTTTTCGGTATAAAAGGAAGGGAATAAAATATCAACACTTGTGACATGAAAACGAATCGAAAATCCCAATTTTTATTTAAGTTTCAAACTTAAATAGCCCTACTTTTTTTATTCATATAACATGTATGCGATTTAGTGGAAGTTAAAAATAGCAACGATATTTCTTTCGTTACCAGATTTTTGCGTTAGTGTCATGCACGCAAATGTCACAGGTGCTGAGCACATTCGGTGCTAACACTCATTTTTTAATGAAAAGAACCATCAATCATCTTGCTTTAATGTCAGCTGATTGGACATTTATATCCTTACTAACCTTATTAACTCTGGTTCAATGTCTATGCACTCTCCATATAATATCATCCAATTCAAATTGCTTGTGTTACATTAATCGCAAAATATCGGAGATAGCAGCTGCCAAATGACAGTTTTTTGTGATATGTTTTATTAAAATAAGAATAAAATATATGACATAGTGAAACACAGATTTTGACAACCAGTACTTCCATCAACTCCCACGGTTCCCTTAGGAGAAAAAAACAACAAAGAAACATTTAAGTGGTGACCCACTGAATTCGATGAGAGTTGGAAAACTGTAAGTCAGATTTAAAGTCAGAAGATTTACTGTCCACAGAATTTGTTTTACTGACGACAAAACAAACAATAAAACATTAGCATGAGCGATACAGTTTCCCTTGTAAACGCGACAAGTGGATCACGCACTCACATCTGAGACCAAACTGAACTTCCCCCGTAGTATATATATTTAAATTCACAATAGGAATAAATTAATTCATTGCCGTCTACATTTCATTTGAAAAAAAAGTTGGAACTCTATTGAAAAACGCATCAACTTCCACCGCACAATGAAATAAGAGTACGGTTGCGGAGGGATAACTTGCAGATTTTCGCCTTTTCTGTGTGTATTCCGATTAAATTCATGCCTCCTGTGTTTAATTGGATGGTTACCGAGACACAAGCAGATGTACAGTTCGGGTATGCTGGTACAGCACTGTCACTGAATTGAAAAGAATTTTGAAATTTTGAAGAAAAAAAACAACCAATGAAATGAAAATATCTTTTAAAATATCTAGTGTCATATTCGGGAAAAATTTCCATTCCTCAAGACTTAAAACTGGAAAACTACATGTACAATAATTTGCCATAGTATAAGGAGAAATCGTAAATTCACGTTTTATTCCACGTATAGACAAATTTATCCATATTTCTAGTCAGTTGATTATGAAGGCATTAAATTGAAACCAAACGCATCCGTCAGACCAGTCGATATTAACAGTAGAAAGTCACTGAGATCAAAGAGCTGACTGCAGAAAATTTAAAAAATAAAAGATCTTTTAACAAACCAGTTCATTGCGGACTTTCACCTTGGTGAAAATTAGATTTAAACCATTCTGAACTCAGATTAGAGAGCTTACTGAGCTGTAAACCAATGGGAAAACTCGAAAATGTAAAACAAATCTGATTTTTTGTTGGAACCTGCATATGGCTATTTAATTTGGCTTTCAACCTGTGAGCGAATATAGTTATGCGTGGCCGTTAGCTTGTCCTAGAAAATACTATGAGGTTTTTCTTTTACAAAATTGAAGGAATGACTGAAGATAAAACTAACCCAAAAAACCCAAGCCCTGCAAACAATGGACATTGATATCATGATGGTATTTCAACTTCCATTTTTGTTTTTTTTTTCTTCGATTAAGATGTCCCTTTGGTTATCCGGGCTGGAAATTTGTTAGCCTGTTCCATATACATGTACTTGTTTACGACAGTATATTTGAATGCCATGTTTATACGGTCGTTTTGATAAAGTGTTCCTTTTTCTCGCAAGGATGAAAAGCTTAGCATCCAAACACTCCCTAGCTGCCTCCGTTGTGAGGGAAAAAGGTTGCACGGGATGCCACACATCATTCATAACGCGCTAAGCAAACTTCGCTGAGAACCTCTTGACGCTCGAGCTGCAAACAAACCCTCATACCCCGGGCTGCTATCTGTCTCCTCGCCCTCGTGATCAATCGCCCACGTGACCGGCTCCCGCAAATAGACCGCAGCGTCGTTGCCATGGGGAACGATTTGGAGCGGAGCAGACCGCATCGCCACTCCATTCCATCTAGGCTAGGCTTCATTTATATGCAGTTTCTTTTTAATCCACCATAACCGTTCTCAGACATTTGGGTGTTTTTCCAGGGAAATGTTTTCGCCAATTTAGGTATTACCAGTTAGCGGTGTCTGTAAATTTTGTACATGCTATGAACCACACAGTATTCTTTTTTTTAATTTGATAACTGAGTAACCTACGCTCCCCAAACGGCATGGGAAAGTGGTGGGAAAGATTTTCATATCAGGAGCTTAATGATCAAACCTGGAGGAGTGCGCTACCGCTGTTGAAATAAGTCGGTGATATGAGTATCGTCCAACATACTGAACGGCACATAGTAGAGACGGAAAGCATTGGTGGGGTCTAGTCTGGCAGACCCTACACGAACAATACCTGGTGTGATATTTCATTTCAGTTCCAGCGTCTGCATCCTGTTGGCCCAATATGTCTAAGCTTCATATATCAGCCGTGTGCCGTGGGAGTGCTTAATTCGTGCACGCGTATGTCACGGAGACCAGCTCATTCGATGGAAACATCTGCTATGTATAGTACCAAAAAAGATGAAAAGGAACAGTAAATTACCTTGCCTGCATGTCGTCAGAGGTGGCATTTTTATTCAGCAAATACATGATCAAAAATGCCGGTGTATATCGTTTATTCATTATGATGCCCGAACACGTACATTTAAAATTCCAACCACATTTGCAAACATTATTAAATTTTATCTCCACCGCGAAATGATGTTGACAACGTATTTTAACTAAAATTTTAAAGTTGAGACTGTAAAAGAGAAAGGAATAAGCTCAGGCCTGAGGTCCTCAGATAAAATAAAAATGCTATAGCAAACATGAACAGGCAACATATCAGCATGTGCAATCCAACTTACTTTTATACATTCTATTTATTGGTTGGTGCTCATCAGCATTGGATATTACAAACATTTTAATCCCGGCCATGCACAGCATGGTGAGTTTTAAACTGAAACCCATACACAAAAGGAAAATAAATTGTCGGTAAAGAGCTTAAAATATAACCCATGACCGTGTACAAGTATAATATGATCTGCATGCGTGCGAGTAAAATTCTCTCCATCTCTCCCTTCGATTTGGCAAAAGACAGTTGTTTTCAAGCAAACTGAGAAAATCTAAATGACCCATTCCGGATGTTGCCGGAAATTAAGCGCATTGCTCCTCCTAGGAACTATCTATCATGTCCCACTACTACGGACAGGCAGCCATTTTGTAAACATAGTTGCCGTCTTTGAAGAAATTTAAAAACAAAAAGAGCATATCAGTGTCAAGGGTTGGTCTGGGGAACCAACGGAGGTCATCTCCCGAGAAAAAAGCCCAACGATTAAAAACAAAAAAACCCAAAAAACAAAAACAAAACAAAAAAACGGAAGGGTGGGTTTTTTGCTTTGTCGTTTTTCTTCCTTCCCTCTTAAGCAAAGACGTCCAAGAATGTAGCTTCAACCCCCAAGGAAGGCCATAAAATGTTACATAAAAATAATGTCCCAAACTATTGGCCACCCTAACAATTTTGCCCGCGTCAAAAATTTGGTCCGGATACGCCCTCAGTCGCGGGGGGGCGGGCACCCACTGAAGCGACATCGAAAGACTTCTGGATGGTGACGCAGGTACTCATCAAACGAGTACACGTGAGGTCATAAAGACATGGATTTCACAGCTGTCGAAATTGCTCATGACAGCAGCATGCAAGGGTGGCTACAGAACCATTTGGGGGAGGTGTTGTTTCTTAGGGGCCCAAAAATTTGGATTTTTTTAAAAAACCTTTTATGGCCTCACTTTTGGGATTAGGCTACATTTGGGAGCTTCTTACCCGCTTTTGAAGGGGAGGGAAATAAGATAGACCTAAAATCGCCTTTCTCTCCTTATTTCTTTTTTTTTGGGGGGGTTGCTTTTAAATTTCTGGTGTGTACGTCATTCCCTTTCAGGTAGGCCTATACAGGTCAGTACCAAACAGCCCTGAAAGGGAAATAACACTGATGTGTTATGTGCAGTATGTGCGTACAATTGTCAATCATTATGTTTTCCATCCAGGCTTAAAAAAGAGATTTTAAATAACTTCAATTCTTCTCAATCACCATAACAACGCTAATGTATGTACACCCTTTGGGAATTGCTCAGGCTACTATTAGCAATCAGTTAAGCATGCAATTAAAGGCTGCATCCGCAAGAGGAATCTCCCGCATCTGAAGGGCGATGGGTCGGACGCGTCGGCACACGCGGAGAATCTCGCCCGGCCCTGCTAGCCCAGACACGTTGAGTTGGGGGCCCAGGGTGGATAGTTGAAGACGTCATACATGGGTATCGCCAGCGAGTTGATAAGGCCGTTCGCCATGATAAGCCCGATGATGTTCATCACCACTCCTGCCTTGGCCTACCCAGGGCAGAGAGAAACACAAAATGGTGACTAGTTTAATTCAACGAGATAACCTGGCTACCTTGCTGTGAATATCACGTGCCTTCTACCAAGGTTGTGACTGGATTTTGAGATAGCAAACTATGTGGAATGGGCACTGTCAAACTACAGAGCAGGTTCCTTGCTCTATGGTCGAATTTGGAATCGTATATGACGTAGTAAAGAAAGTCAAAGAAATGCATTAAAATTTGTTTGCACTCCACAAATAAAATACACAGCATCTCAGCCTGTTTTCCAGAAGGGGAGTAACCCTGTGGACCTGCATTATGTGGACATCTTTTTGTTCACGGATCCACACTAGGTGTGTGAGATTGTACACCCTAACGACTAACGAATCTGTCTTCGGGTGGAGAAACGACATTACTCACCATGTCGACGACGGTGATTGTGCCGTAGGAAAACACAATAGCATTCGGGGGTGTGGCAACAGGAAGCATGAAGGCATAGGAACAAGCCAGGGCCGCCGGAATCATAATATAAAGAGGATTCACGCAGATACTTTCAGCCTGAGGAGAAAAAAACCATAACACTTTCTTGATTTACTGCCAGGAATTTCGGATATAAACTCTGAGATTGGAGGGTCCAGTTGTGGAAAGTTGTGGAATGTGCTTATTTCCTGTTGCATTTATATTTGTTCCTGCTCCTGTTGTTCCTGTTCCGGATCCTAGTTCGTTATTTTTGTGGTTCTTGTTGTTGATATGGTTGTTCTTGTTGTGTAGTTTTTGACGTTAGGGGAGGTTTCGAAGAAAATGATTTTCATCTTGTCTGAGTTTATGTTTCATAAAATGGTTTACACGTTTCTCATGCAAAACATATTAGTTTTCATCGATAACTTTATAAACTGAGTTTTTATTTTCCTTAAGAGCTAGAATTTCTCTGCTTCACCATATCCATTTTTTTTCAGACAACAACCACACTTATGGCGAAAATACAGGTCTCTTTGCAAAACATGCACTGCTCTGTACAAGGATAAATTAGCAATATTAAAGTGCTGTTTGAGTTACCATGGCAACGCAACGAAAGATCCACAGCCCTCACAGACATATGAAGGCCGATCCACTGGTCTGTAATAAGCAAAACAGCGTGGTGCGTCTCTTAACAAACAACCATGATGACGCAAATGAAGGAACTTTTTGTTTCAATGTTATATGTCTTCCAATTCGTGGGCGTGTGGCTTTCGCCGATGCTTTGCTTTCGCTAGGGACACCTGATTCTACCTCGCAGGGTAGACACGCTGAAATTCACATCAGCTATGCGTTGCCTTTAGCAATTTTGCTTAATCTCAACCAAGCTCGGTGAAACACCTGCTGGTATCTTTCAAAAGATACCTTTTAGCCTCTGGCGCTGAATGTCAGAACTGTTGAAATGAGTGAAACCTAACCCTGGCATAGGGTTGAAAACTTACATCGTCGGAATTTTCATGATTTGCTCCAGGAAAAACTCTGTGCTTATATAGGTCTCCCATTTTGTTCTGGAAATATTCTACACCTCAATCTGCCGAAATGACAGAGTTTTATACATTTGGTCATGTGGTCTGTCTGCATGTCGTTTTCCAAAGATCGTACTTTTGATAGCTACTGGGTTGGGGCACTCCTTAAATTTCATCATGTCCCACCCTGTTGAATGATAAATGGTAGTAAAAAATGATGTGTTATATCCTGGGCTGTTTTCCAATACTCAACTTGGGCTCCGTCTAAGGCTTCAACTGTTTTTTTACTAGCTGACTTTCTAGCTGTAAGCGCAGTAATTAGTCTAATAGTGCCTCATCAAATAAGATGCAAGAGAACCAAAAAATACAGTAATCCAATGTAATTTAAACGCTTCGGGCGCACAGTAGGAGATTGGTTTTGGGAACGAAGCCTGAGACGGAGACGAAGTTGAGTATTGGAAAACGGCCCTGTATCACAAAATGATGCGGCTAACCATCATTCTGGAACTCGGCCGATCATTGAATGCATTCTGTCACGGTTGGCACTGAATGGCCAACGTCGATAAATTCTATTTAACACAAGCGCCAGGCCAAGTCGCAGTTCGTGAGAAACATGGCAACGGGTAACACGCAGAGACGGGGCTCTCGATTGTGATGCACAGCTCTGCTGTAAACTTCATTTCCAGCCATAATAGCCGGGTATTTTTCGCTCAGCACCGCGCCGATCGCGTCGCGACGTGATTGGCAGATACCGCACTCTACCCATGCATTGTGTGACAGACAATCTCCAATGTGGCAACTTGAAACTCGGTATACTTGATATTAAAACTGATGTAACCAGCGCTGCGCTAGCATAGGGGCGCCGACGGACAAAACACAGCCTGCAACCTACTTAAAACCACGTCTAATGCTCACCAACGACGCGAGGACAGGCAGGAAAATGGTTGCCGTGGCGACGTTGCTGGTGAACTCTGTGAAGATGCAGATGACGATGGTAATGACGAGGACGAGGACTGGCGCAGGGATGTTCTGGAGAACTTTGAACTGATCGGCCAGCCACTGAGACAATCCGGACTCCTGGAAATTAAGTTTCAGAATGGACACTAGGAGCAATAAACAGTCGAAGTCCAAGAAGCCACAGATATAACTTCGGGAGAGAACAACAATATGCAGCATTAATTCAACAACACATGATAACAATGCTGTATCACACAATGTCAATTCAACACCAAGGGATAGCCATTTGACGACACAGGGTTTTCATACAACGCTGGGTGGTATTAATTCAACACTGCACAGGTTAATTCAACACCAGGGAGTTGGAATTCAACCCCACACTTTTTATGGGACACAACTCGTGTATTGAACGCCACATGGTGTTGAACACACGCGATGGTGACTCTCGACTGAGCCAATCCGCCTCGAGTAGAAACACCCCCCTGTATTCATTTTGTTTGTAGAGATGCGACCGTAACGCATGCATTTCATAGTTGTTCGTGCAATAGCCACACACGTGACCGAGTCAAATTTCAAACCCTTGTCGCGAACCGCGTATGTTCTTGCCCCTCACTTAGTTTGTACGCATGCGTACTGAATCCCATTATAGAAGCCAGTAAAGTGGCTCTTGACTCGGGCAGGTGGACCCCAAAAGTAATCGATCAACATCAAGCTCAGATATAGTTGTTTGCCCCTTAATTATAAACCGATTAGTATTTGACCACTCCCTTTTTGCTAACTTGCACACGATACAAAACCATTTTCTGCCGAATTTTTGCCCATCTTTCTCACGTACTTCCAAAGAATTATAGAGTCAGAAGTTGGAAGTGAAGCCAACATTTCAGAGGGGATTTTTTTTCAGTTTGGTCGGGTTTCCCCTGACATTTCTCTACTTGTGAATTAATAGTGAGGAATATCATGAACGCTAAAATGAGAAAGTATCGTGCAAGAAGGAAACCGTATGAATGAGACCGGAATGTTTTGTCTGTGCCATTTAGTCGGGCAATTTGGCGTCATTGTAGTGCAATGCAGTAAAAGTCAACTGGTACCTAAACGCTCTCGTATCCAGGGGTGAAGTGTGTGTGGGTGTGTGTGTACGTGTATGCCATGCCCAGAATCCGGACATCTCATTTTGGCCGCTGTCGGACATGTCGGACTCAGTGCAGAAATTTGAATCTGCATGAAAAGGGACTGCATTTCAGACAAATGGCTCTCGATCTTGAAGAAATGAACTAATGGATACAAACGATCCATCAGTTTTCCAGACAGTATCATCGATGACCTGAGGGGACTCAGAAAAAAGTGTGAAAATTGGGCACTAAGTAAGGTGAAAAACACGGAAAACGACGAATATTGGGTCCCAATGAAAAACGAAGTGAAGTTCAAAAAAGGTTCTTTGCCTAGAAGTAATAAACTGTTTGATCATAGGAGTTAATAGTCTTTCGTGTGGCATCAAAGTTACTTGAAGGTAAACCGGGCAAAATTGTGAAAATTAGACACATTAAAGTACGGTAAAAAGCGATGCTTTTTTCATAATTATCCTTAAAATCCGTAAAATTGACATTTTTCACTTATCTATTTTCCGGAAATCTTTCTTATCAGAAGCTATTAAATATCAATATTTGGTAGATTCTTGGCAATTCATTCACACACGAGGACTTCAAGGGAAATGGCAGGACAAATTCCTCACATGGGTCACCACCGATATGCGTCGTCCGCGGGACTCAGTTTTCAGGCCGACGACCAGATGGTACAATTGCGCATGCGCAAATACACAAACTAAATGCATACACAGTCTATGGGGAAACGAAAATAAGTGGAACTTTGAAAAGTATTGGATTTGGAAAAAAAAGCAGTCATCACAGAGGGCAAACTGCAAAGCATTTTGAATATGTGATGTTGGGTTGCCAAAGACCTATTGACATCTTACCCTACAACCGTCTGCCAAGGCAAACCCGCCACCAAGGAGCAGTACAACGTTCCACGGTAGCTTCTTTTGCACGATAGACCATGTCAACAACGGAGTGCGGGGCCCAAGTTTGGTGCCGTCTACAGAAGAAAAAGTAAAAGTGACGAATATTGTTCATCAGAGACTATTAAAGATCACAGGACAAACTTAAAAAGCGACCCCCAAGGCGAACAGCGTTAAGCATTGTAACAGCTGTATAAAAAGCGTCATCGACATGCTGTGCAGTACCTGACAAAATGCTCCTTCCATGACTGAAAGGCTCCAACATGTGTGACATGATCTTTTGCTCACAATTTTTTATTAGCGATGTTTTTTTCAAGCAACCAGTCGGTAACTGAGGTTTTTAACACCCGCTAGTTTTGAACTCCCTAGTCAGCTCTTCGTTAAAGAGACTGCTCCCCCGGTGGTTTCACGGCGTATACAAGGCTTCACTGGAAGATAAACCCTCAGACCCGAGACTGTCGAACTAACCTCGCCAGCAGAACATGTTTGGCAGCGTGGAGGGGAAAAGAAACAGAAGGAAACAAATGAATACGACCGCCGTCGCGTCAGTCACGTACCTGAAAAAGGAGCAGACATGCAGGTCAATCCTTTTCGATATTTGCTGGGGATCATTGATCATACAGTGTTTTACAGCAACCCCAGTCCTTTCAATTCAGTCGCTAGTTACTCCCTTGGCGATGCATGACATTGTAATAATTTACTGCTTCTCCAAAAGTAGCGGAAAGTCAATAGCCAATATAAAGTTTACATCAAAACCAGTTTGCTCTTCAGTGTGTAAGTAACTGGCACATAATTATATAAATACATGTGTACTTCCTATTACCACACCTCACAATATCATAAAAATAAAAATACACATAATCCAGATCAAAATTCTTACTGATCCGGTAGAGGTCTAGCACACAAGCATAGTAAGTTGTCAACAACGCGTACGCTAACATCGCCTCCGGAACATATGACAAGATGGCGGCACACATCGTTTTCCTGTGCTTTTTGATGCTGTAAAACTATAACGCTATTTATTTGGGGACAACACGATCACCTACGGTGCCTTGTCGACTACCTTCATTCAAACCAAACGTACTACAGTTATATATTATATCCAGTTTTGTCTTCTTTTAATTTCTCCTCTCTGAGTGGGAGTATTTCGGGCGTGTGATGGCGTCATACTCACAGTGGGACTGGGAACAGCTCCGCCCATCCATTGGCGTCGGGAATAAATGCCAGTTCTTTCGTGAACCACAGGAGCGCCAAGGCTATAAAGTGGATTAGCACCCAGACCTCGGCCCACCTATTATCAAGGAAGAAGGAAACAAGGGCCTATCTTTAACACTGTTTGTTTTTTTGAGGGGGGGCAATGATTTACAGAGATAATTCTGAGAGAACTTTGAGGAACCAATCTAAAGAATGTTCAAGTGACACTTCAACTTTAACTTTATTTTTTCTTATACTTGCTAAGCAAGATAAATTTTTACAATAAAAAATGCAAAGGCAACGTCCTAAGAATTAAAAACATTCTGTTTTATATCACCTACAAGCTGCTTTGGTTCTTCAGTTCAGAGCTGTAGGAAATATACTTATTTCATGACACGCAACGGCACTGGTAGCGAGAAAGGAAGTGAACGTGACTAAAGTTCGACCGAAGTCGCATGAATGATGGATGGTTTGATTATCTTGTCGACCATTTAGAACCGTGCACTCCGCCCATCATTAGCATCGCTAGTTACCAATGGCATTTTTCGGAATTCAGCACAAAAGAAATCATCCATATGAGATACTTTTGCAAGATGGTAGAGGCAATCTCATCCTTTATTTAATAATTACAGTTTCAACAAATCAGGACTGCGCCTGTGCGTTTGGAATTCGGAATTTGGAATTAAGAAGCATCCGACCATTAACTGATGCAGACTTACGACATTGGACCGAGGGCGTCGTACTGCTTTTTAATCACCGCCCGAATGGTGGCGGCCTTTGCGTCATGATTTTTACGCAAACAGCAGGAGCGAAGTTCTCGACAGCAACCGAACAGACTGAAAGAGATGAAAACATAAGTAAATTAATTCACGCTAAATTATTCAACAAGATCAACATGTCATGGTCATTCTGGTGCCATTCAGCAATTAAGGGTTCTGGTACTCGGCATAGGCTTTGTGCGTTACGTGCATGGGCGTCAATCGGTGGTGGACGGGGGACCCACTTTTCCAATGGGGGATACTATATCACAATAGCCCCCCCCCCAACTTTTTCCAAAACCTAAATGAAAATATAAATAGCTTGCACAAGCATTTGTTAAAACAACTAGCTAAAGTAGCCACAAATTGTCTCAGATCACACCACAGAGCATTTATAGGCCTACTCCAAAATTTTCCGGGGCGTTGAGCGCGCACGCATTTGTTCTTATCAGAGCTATGCCCCCCAACACACACACACACACACACAAGTGGGGACATTCCTTTGTTCTCCTGTGGTTAAGGAAACGTGATTAAAATGCTCCTTTTTCTCCAACTAGGACAACTCCTTCGAGCTGGATTTTTGTTGATGATTTTACCTTCTATCCAGAAAGAAAAATTGCAACCAGAACCACGCACAGAAAATGCTGAGAATCATGGCCGGCAGAGCAAAGACTATCCACGAGGCGAAGTTGATATTGGCAGCATCCCCGTACAAACTATACATCATGTGACACAGAAAAAGAAACCATGAAAAATGACCAATATTAGCTTATTTTGTCAGCTCTCAGATGCTACGGAAATTTGCACAGAAATGTTCAACACCAGGACGGGACGCAATGCAAAAAAAAAGGAAGGAAAAACTCCAAAAGAAATCAAGGATTTGTTGACTTTCATCGAAAACTGTTATGCACTAGGCGACCTTACTGCCTTATATAGATAAATATAATAAATATATAGAATTCGCACAGAATTCATCAAGAAATTGCTTCCCGTTATAAACTTCAACGTAAGGGTGACATGTTTCTGTAATTGATTGCTTCTTTTTTTACTTGGGAAAATTAGTTCATATTCAGGTTTTGCTACATTTAACTAGTTCCTAGTAGGGTAAAAATAGTGTAACTTTTTGGTAGCATGCTCACACTTACTCGCTCACAACCTCGTTGAATACCAAGTTGGTGCCCGTCCCAGTTAATGTTGCCGTGCCGCCGAAGGAGGCGGCGGCAGACACGCACAGCATCATGCCCTTGCACATGGAGTTTTCCGCAGGGGACAGGGAGGCGAAGTCAATGTCGACGTTGGCGGCGTCGTCACCCTTCGAAGTGACATCCTCCGAGGAGCCCTCCTGTCGGTCTGCATTCTTTTCGTCGGTCTCGTCAAGGTCCGTTTCTCTGCAGTGAGGAGAGCGAAGCAGTTTTCACAATCGAGTTTGAAACTGGTCCGAAAGGCCCGCTACAGAGCCTAAAGGACATGCAAACACATCCTCGAGACTGGCACCCGTAAATAAATGAGAAAGCAGACAGAAAGAAAACTTATCAAAGCAAAGTTTTGAAACTAAGAACATCGTCTGCGAAATCTTTTTTTAAGTTGTAAAACCAGAAAAAAGGGCAATGATAAAGACTGGACCCAGGCCACAAGGTTCATGGAAGCCGACAGAGGAAAGTTCGAGCAGCATCGAGTAACAGGTAGAAAATGCAAGAAAGCGGTTATAAGATTATTCAGGACATATACAAATGTACAGAAATCCATCTCTTGCGAGATTAACGTTTCTCATAAGACGCAGAATCTTCGAGTATAAAGATCTCTGCAGTAGGCTAGGGATCATAAATCCCCAACTCAAAACCCTCATACCCTTTTGGTTTTAAATTAAGCCCAAGAATGCTAAGCATTCGTCAATGGCAAGAGTTGTCAATTCAATTTAAAACCAGGATAGGAAATTTGCGTCTCACGATGCAAGAATCGAACAGCATTGTCCAAAGCTCAATGAGTTCACTTGTATTCAGTATTAATTAGCTGCTGATAACTAACAACCTTCAATACTGGCAATGATGGTAATTAAAACATAACAACGGAATGAAGGGTTTCCACCTTGTTTTATAAATCCCATTCGGTTCTTCAGTAGTTACACTCTGTGAAGAGAAGTTGTTTTCCGGCATTTGAGTTCCCTTCTCCAACTCTAACTGTACGCCGTCGCAACTTACTGCGACTGCGTCGGCATTCTCCAACGTATCGTCCTCTTTCTGTAGATATGAATATCAGGTCACGTCTTGTTAATGATGAAGTTAACGCAATATATATTGTCACGTTTATAAATTTTTTATACAGGCCTTATAAACTCAAACAGAGATAGAAATACGGAGTTCGGCGGGCGGAAATTCAAATCCCCAGACAAGAACATGTATCAAAGTTACGGGACGTACAATTGCCTGCACACGAAAAGCATAACAGCCTCTCATCCTTTTTAAGGCGAGACCCCTCTACGGCCTCAATGGTTTAGGTCTCACATGTGTCCCAAATATGGCGACATTTAAGTTTTATTCGAGTAGGCCTACTTAAATGTCGCACTCAAAACTACTGGCACCCCTCCAGCCAGACTGTATTTATATTCTACAAACACACTTCTCGGTCATAGGGAGGTTTAAAAGTGCTGGCCTATGGTGTGGCCGCTCAGACATGTTTCCACACTGCCGTCAAACTCACCTGCCCATCTTTCTTGACCATTTGGGCCAGGACCGAGTGAACAATGGGTACCATCATGGCGGTGGTGGCGGTGTTACTAATCCACATGGACAGGAAGGCAGTCACAGCCATGAAACCCAGCATTAATCTGGCATCAAATGACAGCACTTTCGATCATCTGCTACAGGGCTATAGTCAAGTCATCAACGATCAATCGTGGGTCGATCATAAACCTTCAATTATCGAGCTTAATTCGAGAACAAACGTTTTCCCTTGACAATAATTGCGAGTTGAATATCGGTTACTTACAAGATAAATAAGAAATGCTTGGTAGTTAACATCGGTCTGATTTATGGTTGACATTTACTGCCAACTCTGATTAAGAGAAGTAAAGAGTTCTGAGCATTTTTCGTAAAAAGGAAGCTCCAGTAGTTTGATAAATAGCAAAAGTAATTCCAACAACACTCCCTAAAAACCGATTTGTTAAGACCACAAAAGATTCAAAACAGTAATAATTGGGCACAATATCCACCACAATTGGTTATTTCAACCAAATTCTTTTTAGAAAGCATTTGGATCTGAATTTATCTTTATCAATGCATTAGATACCTTCTGGGCTGGGATCCAACCAGGAGAAGGACTCCTAGTGCGATGCGACGGTGAAGGTTCCAGTGTTGGATTGCCACAGCCACCATCAGACCGCCCATGGCCAGGAAGTTGGTGTCCTTCAGGTAGTTTCGGCACACATCGTCGGAGTCTTGAACCCCCAGCAGCGGGAAGAGGAGAACGGGCAGGATAGACGTGACGGCAAGGGGGACCACCTCAAAGGTCCAGTAGCCCGCCATGACGATCACTACCCAGCCGCATTTGGCTACCTGTGAGAGCGAAAATGCAAGCAATTTCGATTCAGTTGACGCAGGTAAACGAATAACTACCTGCCAACAAGTTGGCAAAACTGTCCAGCCAGTATACCATAGCCAGCCAGTCAATAAATCAAACGAGCATGCAGACAGCCAGGCACATGGGCAGCCAACAAATAAGCCAATAAAAATACTGTACAAGCAGTTAACCACTCGCGCAACAACGCAGCCACCAACCAGCTGAGGGTGCAAGCAGATCGGGGGACAGGGGTATATACGACGTGTTCACATTGACGGGTACCGGGACATAGGGGATCCCCAATTTTTCACATTGACAAATAGAGGTACCGGTAAAACGGTAAAAGCCCGGCCAATTTTTCAGCAGAGGCCGTGTTTGACCAGCAACAATTTATTGACTACTGGTCAATTCTCCCTGGTAATCAATGCACAAAATATAATCTATGCCCAAGGTTAACTCAACCAGTGGGTGACTCAATGTCGCTGATCGAACTTGCGCCGTGTCCGAAACGGGCTTCCAGAGCTACGGCTAGGTCTATTGTCTACGCGTCTCCACGCATTTCCGATGGAGCGAAGACCTAGACCTAGCTCTAAACAAGACATTCGGATGCAGCCTTGGCCAGAGCCAAGGATGAAATCGCCAAAAAGGTGTTCATCTCAAAGAGACAATATACTTACACTATCCCCAGATACAATCAGCAGCGGTGATGCCAGTAGAGGGATCAGTACCAGCAGTATGGTGGTTCTGAACGCCCACAGCACCTTGACGACACTCTTGCATTTATCCATGTATACGGACAACTACTCAGATCAAAATAGACGTAGAGACGAAACAGTTTAAAGTGAAACCTTGCACTGATAGATTTGCAAGACAACCCTAATGCCATATATATAACGGCAACAATATTCACCTGAAACATCCATAACGCACTACAGCCACTAAACACAAACATGAAATCGATTTGTTTATATTTCGTAACCTTTGGACAGGTTCAGTGTCTACTTGCGCTCCAGATCTGCAAGTGTTCCCATGGACAACCCCCTGCATGTCCACGCCAAAAGTTCACGACATCTTAAGGTAAGGTTTTAGACTTCGTGGTGCATAGGCCTACATTCTGGCGCAAACTTTGCATCAAAAACCTGACACCCCACTTTCGCTGCAGGATACCAGAACAGTTACGTGAATTTTACATGATCGCCGTGTTAAATACCACCTCATTGCAAACCGAATTCAAAACGTTCGAGCTATTATAAACCCTGATCAATAGACCAAAATATCGATTTCTTGTAGGGCAGCATGCCGCAATCACAGTTTTCCACTTATCCATTAATATGCCTGAGTAGAGATCGCGAGGCAACCAGCTTTTGAGAGTTAAATTTGAATAAGATCTGGTACTCTAAGTTCTTTAAATTCAAATGAACATAATTTGAATTCTCCATACTAAAGACACTGTTGCTTTACCTCGTGATTTAGGGCAAGCTATTGCTTTTATTTCTAGAGATCCACTCAAGAGATGCCAATGCTTGCCCGAAAATAGAGTCTCTAGTCTGGGGAATATCAACTTAAATTGTTCAAATTTCACTCGCAAAAGGCTTAATGCAGTACCAATCGTATTTGGACCCACATACAGCACGAATCATTAACCGCTGAGTTAAGACACTGTAGTTTTTTTATTTGACTTCACGAAATGTTTAGTGAGTAACGATTTTGTGAAATCCTTTTCATAAGACCGAACTGCCTTGCATGTTTTTCTAACTGTAGAGGTGTACACCGCAGCGATGGAGCTATTATGTTTGTAAACAGGGTCAGGAAATGATAGGCTTATTTAATCTTTACCTCGATGCAGCGCATTTCAAAACGATAACAAGTTTAAGAACTATAAAAATACAAACGCCGTCTGGAAAGTAAACAAGTTAGCTTTAGTTTGCACATAGATGACATCACACATACACGCAACACGTTATCAAAAAGTAAACTGACTAAACTGGGGTGCATTTTGCAGGGACACTTGGGGGCGTTCAATTTCTTAAGTGGGCATTCAGTGGGTTTATTCACAGTTAACCCTCCAGGTGGCTGTACCAGTGGGTTTTTTCTTCTCTGATTTTTGAGCTGGGGCATGGAGGAAGCGGTGAGGGCACACGAGGGGCAGAGGCCTCGAGCAGCAGGCGTTCCCCATGCCCTGACTTAGTTACGCAAATGGAACACGTACGCGGTTGAATTCAACACCTGCCATGTACATGACTACCTTTCCGCAAGGGGGGATCGGGAACGTTTGTCCTCAGATTCGGATCGAACGACCCCGGGTTTGCACTTGTCGATCCTCCTTTAATCTCCCTTGCAGGTACAGATCCTCCTTCGTTAATCTTTACGAGATCCTGTGTAAATGCACTCTACTTGTCCCATTCTGGATCCCGCTGAGACCGACGGTGCGAACTAAAATAACCCAGTAGTTTTTGAAGTGTCGTGGTAGATTGAACGGTCTTTGAAAGTAAACAGGTCTTTTATCTCCATTATTTTATGACAACCACTTTTTATGACGAATGCTTTTATCTCTTATTATAGCTCATATCAAGATTCAGAATTTGTCCATTTATCTACAGTGAACCTGTACGGCCACCTGAATATAAAATGTATAGACTTAGCGTCGAGGTTTTTTTTTTCAAAAATATAAAGGTCGGTGTTTCTACTGTTCAAAGATTTAAAAAGTCTCACAAAATGGAAAGTCAACGGTGGTGTGAATAGTTTGTAGCACGGTTCAATAAAAGTTTTTAAAACGTGGCTGATTCCATAGGATTGCACGGTAGGGGGCGTGATATATTGAAAGAGACCCACTGTCTAAATTTGAAATTTCCTCCTCCCAAGTACCTACTTTATCTTCCAATGGACTAGTTGGACTTTGGTTTTCTACCTTATTTTACCTGTGGTGAGAAACTCACGCTGCTAGCTTCAAAAAAAGAAACGAGCCGGGACCATGAGTTTTCTCTCATTGACTGGAGGGTCTCAACAATGTACTCGCTGGACGGTTGTAGCATGTGTGCCCGTGCAATGCCTAGAGCCGTAAAAATGTCTGGAAAAATACTCATCCTTCTCGGACGTATAATCCAGGTCTTGGGTCGGGGAGGGGCAGAATGGATTTTTTTCTTAAAACGACTGCCTTTTTTTCATTCGTAAAAGAATCGTCAACCATCGCCCCTCCCGCAGAAACTCTATCGTTTCTAAAATGCTGGCGCATTCATTTCCCTACCCCAAAGGCAACTATGTGGGGGGGGGGGCTTTCCCCTGCCACTCCCCCATACGCCACTGATGTAAGGAATACAGCGAAAGCTACATGTATATGCTCAAATAACTTTCCAAGCTGAACGAAAATTAACGCAGATGTGGTTTGGTCCCGTATGGACAGCCATCTTTACTTTTGAACTCCAGGTTGTGAGTTGGACTGAGGCCTATGCAAAGCACAGGAAAGCGCAAGGAAGCGTGGGCCATTTTGTACCACTAACCTCCGCCACACGCCATGCATGTCAAATACAGTCGAACTGATGGTGTCTGGTTAATACGGGGTCTGCAACTACTATGTAGTGGGGAAGCTTAAAGGGCTTAGTCACTGCACAAAACAATCTAAGCTTTCTCTTCCTGCTCTACATTTTGAGAAAAAAGGCCCGCGCGTGCCCCTTTAATACACTATTATAATCCCAACAGTATATAGCTGCAATTTTGCTGAGCATTCAAGTCAAACATTCAGTTGGCTATGAACTTCAGCTTGAACTCAATTGAAAGATAAGATTGGAAACTTGCAATACTTCACCCAGGCTACTCCCCAGAACTTTGGGGTCCAGCTTCTGGTTCGTGCGGGAGCGGGGCGGAAGCTGGACCCCACAGTTCTGGGGTACTATACCTCGCCCTGTGCAACACAATTGGGTGAAACTGACCATGGAGGTACCTCCATGAACTGACAGTTAAACATACCTTTGTTTACAGTGAGCCGTTATCTTTGAAGGCAAAAACCCTCGATCGTCACAAGCTCTTCAATCGTTCAACTTTTTCTTGCAAAGCTGGCTTTCGATAGAATTAACTTGGTGGGCAGTTAAACAACACGTCAGCTGAGCGGTAATGTGATTCTCACAAATTTATTTGTTGTTTGTAATCAGCGTACCGGGACCTAATTTGCAACACGAGCAGTCGCCAGGGTGTACAAGGCTTGCTGAGTGAGGGCAAAGTAATCTGAGACACACTTCGCTGGTGCCCACCTGTCTCTACATATATGTTGGTGGTCAGGCTGTCTCATGCAGTCTCTGGCCCAAATTCAGTCTGTTCGGCCATACAAAGATCGGGTTTGTGGGCAAGGTGAAGAGTGTGTTGTAACTGGGTGAAACTCCAAGGCTTGTATGTAGGTCTACAGTGTGTCCCAGGCTCATCCCCCAACACACGAAAGGAACAGACAATACTTAACTATCGGACACAACAATGACAAGTGGTAGCATTTAAAACTTTCAAATCCTACATGGTGCCAGCATCCAGTCCCCTCACCCCCACGCTTGCCAAATTTCCATGGCTGGCCATGTACGTCATTTGCCATCACCACCCACAGATATTTATGCGACTAATATTGACTTTTTGTTGATACTACAATAAATTGTTATAGACTTTTGCCGAGGTTCGTGCAGTGTAATCGAAACCAGCCCACGATTGCTGGGAAAATAAAGTTGGACAAGACAAAAGTTGGATAAAGTGCAAGGGTCACTCCATGATCCCCGGAGAAAAACTGCATTGGCAAGAGCTAATAATTTGGAGGTTTTTTTCCAAAAAGGTTGGAAGATAATAGGCTTATGTTAACCTGTTCAAATATGCAACCAGGAAATACCGACCATTCTGAATGAATTTTATATCCGGCGGCCACCATGGTCCCGTGGATTTCTCCTTGTCTCCGAGAATCGATAAGAGCCGAATTTTTTCAAACTTATTTCGTTGACATTCTGGGACTGTTGACTACTGTATTGGAAAGTGTTTAACGTATACATGTACATTTGTCAATGGTTCACTTTGCAGATTTTAGCACATGCATTTCATAACGCAAAACAATTCCTCAACTTTTCTGGGTACTTCTGGGTAGATCTTCACTATTGTACATGTACAGTTTTACGCTGTCCGTTAACGGACTTAATTGTGAAGTCCGAAATAGATAACTTCAGACTACAGGGGGCGCTGTATTTGCTTGGTTCATTTACGGCCATCATGCATCCTCAACTCATATCCGGGTTGAAACCGAGGCTCTCTGTGCTAAACATATGGCACGGCCGCGCGACGTACGAAATAGCCACTGACAGTGTGCGTGTCACCGTAGCACCACTCACCATGCAGTCACAGGTACGTAGCTTCACCGTAAAAATGCAGTCTTCTTTTCTTTTATCTTGTAAATCATTATTTAATGCATGAATTCCCCAACCCCTTATGATGTGCCCAGAATGGGTTGTCTGTTGATGGTTAATTAGGAAATAATTCCGAAGAGTTTTACCCATTTTGTGATCACTGGTGATCAAGCTTTTTTAGCCGGTCATGTCGGTGTGCAGTGCCGCGAATGCAGACTGCTTGCCTTAGTGCGTGTTCCTTCACCTGGCTTAAAGGTAATCCTGCCAAAAATTGACCTATCCCTTCTGAAAATATAAAATACATGAAGAACAGTTCAGTGCAGTTGTCTCGAACGCAGACGAACAGTTACGGAATTATATTTCATGGTAGTCTTTGGGTAATAGCCAAAATAAAAACAGACCAAAATACATGTATTTTAACGAATTTGTAATTTAAAAGGAAATAAACTTGTAACAATACTCTGCTTTTACAAAGGATTCTAATGTTTAGTCTAACTTTGCTGACAAGATGGTCTCGTTAGGTAATTGGACTGAATCTACGGTTGCACTATACACTCCAATTGTTGAAAACAGTGCAAAACCAGACCGAAATAGCGCCACCTGTAGGCTCTCGTGAAGAGGTTGGAATCTGTTTTTTTGCTGGAAATTCAAGATTATGGCCAGACAATCACTTTTCGTTTCAATTTTATGGGGGTTAGCCACGATTTCTTTGTTCATTCATATTTTCCCGAAGACTAAGTAAAACTACATGTATGCGCTCAGCTCTGAATGTAGCCCCTGCCTCTATCCAATAGGCCCACAATTTGGGACTTTTTGTGAAAGAAATACCCCGAACCGGAAACTGTCGGTCCCATATTTGGAATTTATAGAAATATTTCTATGATCCCTCCTGATTATGGCACGTCTTATTGTGAAAACCTGTGGGATCACAAGATAGTAATGAGCTCACGCGCAGAAATACAGCCATTTGGTTGAATGCACCCTTTAATATCACCTCGAGGGCCGGTTTCACAGTAAAAATGACTCAAAACGAAGAAAATCTATTGAAAATAGAAAAAACAATTCCTTTCTGAAGAATGATAAAACAGTTTGTCCGTTGCCACTAAATGTGGTTGTGTTTTGGGAGCAATGAAAATCTTATTCGGTAAACAAACGAAAACTGAAAATTAAACATCTGCAAAACTGCGGGACACACAGAAGAAGGACTACCAGAAAGGTGAGAAAGAGGACAAACGGACAGAATTAATTATTGATTGAAACTTTCTAATTTCTGTTTCCCCGGTGTTCAACTTCACTCACCCAAGTACAGGCGTCATGGCCATTCTAAAGTTAGGGAGGCGAATAAAAAACTGCTGAAAGACGACGTTTGATGCTGAAACTGAATTTCATTTCATTTANTTTGCCAGATAAAAGGACATACAAAAATACACAAATTACATACAAGAGGCACACCTAAAAACATCAAAATACATTACATGAGAGATAAAAATAATTGCACAGTAACTAAAATACATGTACCAGAAAAACACCTCACCAGCCAGACTACTCTAGCAAACTATCAACACAGCACAAAAACGCAACTACCAACCTTCAGTGCAATGCAGCAATACTCACACATCCCGATCATGTCCATGAGGGAGATTACCAACAACCTCTACACATATACAGACAAACAAAAACATTCGATCTAGGAGAACCTTTGGCAGGGATAACCAAAACAGTGACAGAGACACTTTCAAAGTGTTTAAACCTAAAATTCCCCATGAAACGCAACAAGGACAACCCAAACAAGAGAGCAGTGTTGTGGCTTCTCCCTCATCGAGAAGACAGGGAAAAAGGAAAAGGAAACAAAAAGAAAAAAGAATATGAAATTATTATTTTATGCTAGTTAAAAGCTTTCTTTTTCTCTTTAAACCCTGAAATACTAAAAAGAAGTTGATCACTCAAATTTGGCGGGAGTTGATCAAAAAAGGCTGAGAACGATCGAAAGCAGCAAATTTATAACCATCAGTGTGAGCATGCATATGAGAGAGTTGAAAAGTACCAAAATATGACGTGAATCAGCAGAAAATAAAATGAAAAGAGTGAACATCAAATACCAAAAAGCACTTGGAAACAAAAATATGACAAAATACCCATAGGTATTATAAAGGGACATTAGATCTAGCATCTTAAAACAAATTAAAAGAAATAAACCATCTAAAAACTAAGTTACAAAATTTTTAAAAAGATGCCTTGACGTTGTAAAACAACCAGGTGGTGCTTTGCCCACGTGACCTTTACGATGAGAACAAGACGTAACGTACCCCTCCTGAAAATGAGGGGCTTCCCACGTTCATCTTTTGACCATAAGGATTTGGTAATTTTTTTATTTTGAATTGCAGCCTAAGTGATTTTGTTTTGTATTAGACATGGCTGTCCGTTCTGGGTTGACCACTCATCACTGTCTGGCTGCTGCTAACAGAGGGCGACATTGCAACATGGTCTGGTTCCAAGTACTTCTGACATGGGTGGTTAGTGACACACGCGGTACATAGAAGTGGCATCACACTGCGACATTTTCCTACCAGTATCACTGTCAGCGGACTGAGGTGCTCCCCAACCCGCAAAAGGCACTGCAGATGATGTCCAAGTTGTACAATGTATGAGGCCCATGTCAAACGTCGTGCTTTTGCCGTGTCCAACTCAAATACTTTGAAAATCTTCAATTAAGTGCAGCAGACGCACGACGTTTGACAGAAAAGTTTTAAATATGAGTACTAGACTACGTACATGTAGGCCTATGATCCTGCCAATTCTATGCTACACGTACATGTACACCACAGCGTCTGACGTGCTACACGGTGGGGTCCGGACAACTGGACCTTTTGCCAGGGTCGTGCTATAAGCCTTATCGCAAATACTGCACAGGTGATTTTGCCCAATGGTAGAAAGGCATTGTGGGAAGAATAAAGGAGCAAACATTGCCCCTTTTTCCTTCCTACAGTGCCTTTCTACCATTGTGCAAAATCACCCATGCAGTAGGCCTAGGGCCTATTTGCGATGTTATTTGATGCTAGTTGTATGTGTTGATGCTTGTTGACGCTAAATAGCATGACCGTTTTGCCAACTTGACTTCAGACAACTTGACCGTTGAGACAACTCGACCATCCGTGCATAAAAAGGAGAGACAAGTAGACCGTTGAGACAAGTCATCTGGTGAGACAATTCGTTTGTTGAGACACCCTTGTCTGCTCAGCCCAGTCGTCTGCTGAGACGACGGTGTGAAATACTATACCTTAATAATGGAAGGGGATTTCTCGTAGTAGATATACAAAATCTAATTTCTGAGGTATTATAAAAATGGTGACCGTAGTAAGTGAATCCTGTGCTGACCCAGCCACATATATATATATGTATTACAGTCATTTTCCTAGTTTTGGATCTCTTGAAATAAAAACCTAGGCCTACCACAGCATTTTAGCTAGTGAGCCATGCAGCCCTGTTTTGCACGGCAAGTTTCGTGAAATCACGGCCCATTTTTTCAAGCACAGCCTGGCGGTGCAAATCAAGCCATGCACTACTTAATTTGATTCTTGTGTAATCTAGATCCCCAAAAATATGGTAATAAAATCTTAGATAAAATTCAGTCTTTTCCCATGCTTTACACTGCAGTATTAAAAGTACGTCACGCTGGGACTACTGTTCGGACGTTTGGTTTGAACGTATTAACGTTGGTACACTGTAGGTGGGTTCCCTTACTTACAAATAATGAACTGTAGCACCGTATCTATCAATTTGTAACAAAATGAATACAGGGAGTCATACTTGTTCACCAGCAATCGATCGTACATGTGATCAACTTCATTCCCATGGCAATCGTTAGCCGCCATATTGCACCCAATCACACACGAGGTAGTCCATGGGGACAAGGTTGACATACAATCGCTTTGGGGCTTGTGCTGCGTGCTCACTACATGAAAATCATCCAGAATGAAACGAAAACTAACAGAATTTCTTCTCGAAGGCAAGGGCTGGCGTACACGTAATCTTTGTTATTGTCAGTAATCAGCATAACACTTGTTTAGGTTCTTTTACCTTGACGATGGAAAACATTGTCGAACTCTTCCAATGCCATGTTCAGACTCGTGCACAAGCGTGAGCACGTGGCCTGCCTGTGGTGTACGTGTGTGTGTATATAGTTTGCATATGTACACGTACTACGCATGTACAATGTCTTTTTTTCGTCCACATTGAAGTTGAGTCTTGTACTCAATTCGCTTTTTCTTAGCCAACTTGCCGAAGGAAACATGTATGTAGGAATACTGGGATTCATTATTTTTGTTTGCTGATCACATAATAATCTAAATATACTGTATTGCAAACAAAAAGGAAAAAACTTTTGTCAAATACTGACCTGCAATATTACCTGCGTGTCATTTTTCTAAAAAGAAAATTAACTGGTGATAAGAAATCTGTTCAAAGGTGTTTGTCATTATTTGCTTCTTTGTTTCAGGGCTGTTTAATCACACTATATAAAACAACAATTGCACACAGTTTTACAATTTAATTTTTTTTCCTAAAAGCTGCTTTTTTTGTTCGAAATGGCAATACTCTCAGAAAAATTGTCAGAAATTCATCAGAGACCACCAGAGAGCATCTAAAACAGGCAGAGCTTCCTGGGCCCTAACACAAGCCCTGGATCCCGGCTGTAAGGGACTTCGCGCAGCGCACTCATGTTGTGTGCTTCAAGTTCGTGCACAAATTTTGGACTCTAACAAGATTGCACTCCCTGTTTTTCATTATGCACTCCCACTTTTCAAATCCTAGCTAAAACACTGGCTTACCACCTTATGTTCTTCAGTTTATACAATCTCAGACAAGTTCTGTTTAAAAGGTGAAATGTAAGCATCTTGTTGAACAAAACTTGTTCTCAGAAAATTTCATGAAAACAATATTTGGCCAGATTTCTGATTACACTGTGACATTTTCAACGGTTTGTAAAAAATTGTGATAGCGGAAAAACGAACGAAAACGAAAAGCGAATAAAAACAAGCATGTTTCTCATCCCTGTCTGCTTCCTTTTTGGAGGCCGCCTGGAATTTTTTGTTATTTTCTATTTTTGCAAAATGCAGTAAAAAAACCAGAAAAAGTCCACAAATTCATCGGAAAATAAATATTTGAGAAATAAGTGAGTCAAGTTTTCAGTATAGACTCTTTCGGTCACTTTGTACACCACATAAATCGACGCGCAATTGCAAAACATGGAAGTTTTAAAAAATGCGGCTCTGGCGTTCGTTGAGTGCTTGATAAACACAATGGAGCACAGCAGTTCACATGGACCATTCGGATGATAATTGGAAATTTTTTTATTTCTTTTTCCTTTTTTTCATGTCAGGTCGATACTCACGCCATA